AGCTCATAATTGACAATGCCGGTAAAGTCTCATCGTCATCATCAATGAAGAACCAATGTTGATATCCTATCTGGCGCTCAGCGCCCAGACTACAGATGGCAGATCCTATCTAGCCTAGACTACAATGCCGAATGATGACAACAACAACTTTCCCGAAGTACGAGCATACAGCGACCAATGTCGCACACTTCCAGCACCAGGTATGTCTCTCGCCTCACTCAAAACCTCGTTCCCCAACACACAGATGCCACTTGCACCCAAGGACCACCCTGCGCCACACCCAGCTTACAGCAACGCAGCTCGGCTATGGCTGTCTGCTCCTTCTTGCTCGCCCGTGAGCGAGTGAGTGCCAACGAGCTTCAGCGCAGCATGCAGCCAGCACCCGAATATCCAATCTGGAGGCAGGCCCTTTGCTATATCGAAGTGGCCTGTCTGCGTTCAGTCCCAGGAAGCTTCCAATAGGCCCCGATAGCCTGAGGCCCAACACGATAGAGAACAGGCCTTGGGCCTCAGGTGGTTGCATGCACCCAACTGCCTTTGGCCTGTGTTTGGCCAAGTACCCGTATCCAGCCCAGGGCCTGCTTTCCATACATTCACATAGGCGGCCCAGGGCATGGGTTCTCTCAACCAACTGGCGCTGCGCAACTGCCTGAATTTCCTTAGTTGCGCAGTGGTCAAAGTAGGGCCCTGAGGGCCTCGTCGAGCCTGCCTTCACTTAGGGCGGCCGACTTGCTCCAAAAAGGGGCCGAATGGGGCTCATGGAGGCAGTAGCCTTGCATTGGGGTGTACGCTTGATGAGAACTCGCTGATGTGGCATTTAAGCCAAGGTGGAACTGCATTACGCTGTTTGTTGTGCCAAGGCAAGGACCGGTCATTATAAATGCACATCAGGTTGTCGGTGAGAAATTTGTAGTTGGGGTAAGCATTATGAGGTTTGTTGCTCTCATCCTTATCTACCCTCTTTATTACTTCTTACCCTGAGGAAGTGAGTTTTGTCTTGAGAGTCGTCTCGATGTGAGGTGTCGCGAGCGGTCAACCTTGAGAATCGACATTCTTCCTGGGGAGCAAGCTGGTGGGAGACGGGCGAAGCCTCTGAAGGGCCCTGGACGAAGCACTCGGGTCACGGTCACCATGCCAACCCGGTGGGACTAGTACACGCATGCTTTGCCGCAAGTCCTTGGTTCTGCTTGCTGCGCAATAGACGTCATGCCAGCCCTATAAGAGACGCTCACCAGATCGTCTATAAGTATTTTTGGTGGGTTCTCGTTGAACCCTGGCTGTGATCGTTGTCTTGATTGCAACGTTAAATAATTCCTGAGGACCGTGGGGGCCGTCCTTAAACTGCCTCTTGATCAGCCAGATCAATGGGAAGTAAGGCTCGTTGCATGCGAGGATAAACAAAGTGCAGGGCTGGCAAGCTTAGTATAGACTTGGGGCACGGGGGTGGGCCGGATTGCACACCTTCAGACACGCTGCTCAACCAGATGCTCAGGGCGTCGACATAAGAGACTACTCAGGAGGGATACAGGGGGAGGGAAGATTCTGGCAACTGTTCGTTGATGGGCTAATTAGATCATTTCCCATCCAGCATGCATCTCCACAGGTAATTTATTTTTATTTTTGATTATTTAGTTGTACGGACTTGGTTGACAACGGACAGACAACCGCAGATAGGATAGACTATTCCTTGTTGCATTGCATTCTGTTTTAAAATAATCTAAAAATAGAAATAGAATTGCCTTTCGGGATCTGGCATTGATTGCTGGTTACCACTTGACTACTTCCCTCTAGACTGACCGAAACTAGTTGTTTACATTACTCGGTTGGGTGTCATGCCGAGGTAGGATTCGGTGTGGATTCTAGTTTAGATCACACATCACTGTAGCTCATGAGTGAAGCAGTTAGTAGTGAGGAGGAGGAATGATTAGTGGAAGATCTTAGAGTTGCTCGCAGGATTGCTCTCAGTCGACCGATCACTTCCCAGGAGTTAGGTCCCGGAGAGGGAAGGAGGCTGCGGAGGGAAGCCAAGGAGAGGGTGGCATTACGGAGGGCTAGGGCAGCAGCCGTCGGTGCTAAAAGGGGAGTAGCAGCAGGTGTACAGGCTAGGATTAGTGCCAACGCTGAGGCAGCTATGGCTACCGCCTCTACCATGTCACATGCCTCATCTCAGGCCTCTTCGTCAGGAGTCAGTCAGGGTGGCTCCGAAGTATCCATTAGCCAGTCTGTTGGTTTGCAAGTCAGCCAACAGTCTCAACTCACGCCGAAAGATTATGAGATCTTACAAGCAGATGCTCTTCATGATGAGCTACAGCAGCAGTTGAGGGATGTAGAAGACAGAAGGGCAAAGGCTAGAATGAGGAAAGTCAGACTAGGAGCTAGGATGCATGAGTTAAGAGAACTAGAAGCGCTAGAGGAGTCAACCCTGGATCCTGCGATGAGTACGTTGAGATGTACACGACTTTGTGTGGCTGAAACACAGGTAGTGCAGCAAGAAGTGTTGGGCGAGCTAGTGGCATACCAGAATCGCATTCTGGCAGCACTGTAGGCCCCTTGTCCCATGATGAGGCAGCCTCAGTACTTTGTAGCTCCCCCTTCGGTTGCGGGTCCCTCAGTGACGCCGTCACCGGTAGGGCCCTCCTCTCCTATGTTTGGTATGCCTTTCACAAGTGGTGTAGCAGCAGTTAGTGGTCAGCTCTTCTCCCCTACCATCAGTGACGGTGACAGCTACAGTACCGCCGTCAGGATAGTCCCAGGTTAGCATGCAGCAATCTGTTTCAGTGGCTACGCAGCCACTGCAGCAATCACCCGGGCCAATCCAACCTGTGCAGGACACCTGGGTGAGGATTGTGCCTACATTTGTGAGGCACAAGCTCACAAGGCCAGAGCAGGAAGTTATAGTCGCTGCCTCCTTTTTAGAAGGTTTTGCAGCCCGATGGTTAAATGGTCTAGTGCAACAACAGGGCTATGGTCAAAACTTCGATGTCTGGGCTCAGGCCTGGACATTGGAAGACTTCGTACGGACCGTGTACAATAGGTGGCATGACCCTCAAGGGGCTCAAAAGACGACCGATGCATTGGTTAGTCTCGGTTCCAAACGATACAATGCGGGAAGTCACAGACGCCGTAGAACGTCTGATTGTAGTGTCTGGCGTGCCTTATGACCCTCACGTACTCCTCACAGCTTATCTGCGATGTCTGCCCACAAACGTCAAGAACAAGCTGGTGGATGAGGCCAACATCGATGTCCATAACTTTGCTACTCTCTACAAGAAGGCCTTAGATATAGAGGCTAAACTTGGGACCGCACAACAGGGACCCACGAATGGTAGGAAAAAGAAGTTTCCCCAAGATTAGAGGAAGAATGGCAATCTCATGTTCGTCGATCATGACGACTTCCCTGACTATGGGGAAGACGCAGAGCAGGATGGGGCTAGTGAGATTTCGAATGGGGGAGTTGTAGCTCCAATCAAAGAAAAGGCTAAGGGGACCGAGAAGCAGAACGTAGGTCGTTCTAAGGGTCAAGGCGACCAAGGAACACTAGTTTGGGTGAAACTTGGTTTAGACTACGAGGTGTTGAGGGACCGAGTTGCTAGGGGCATGTTTCTCAACTGTGGCAACTATGGCCACACGTCTAGAACTTGCAGAGGCAAGAAAGTCACAATGAAGGTAGCCTCCCCTAAAGTGGTGGGCTTATCTTCGAACTCTGCTGGTGCATCTGCGAGCTCTTCGCAGGGAAACACCTCGGGCCAGTAGGAGTTTTAGCCGCTCTTACCCGTGCTGAAGTGGTAACGTTACCTTCCCTACTTCACGCGTTGGCCAAGGCTATTGATCCAGTTATCGCACCGCAGACACATATAGACTCATTGATGCTCTGTTCGAGAGATGTGTCTGAGTCCTTAGAAGAGTTACAAACTAAGTGGTCAGGGAAGGACCCAGAGACTCTTGGGCGATGATCAACAAAGGTCCTAGGGGTGAACATTTTGTGATAGAGGTTGATGTAGGTAGCCAAAAAGTGGGTGCCTTCGCAGACATAGGCTCTACACGAAATTTCATCAGTCGTGCTTGTGTGGATAGGCTACGCTTAGGGGACCAAGTGCAGTTGCTGAATAGATCGGTAGCATCCACGTTAGCCAACAAGCACCGGATGGTTGTACAAGACTATGTCAAGGACGTAGTCTGCACCTTTTCCTATGGAGGAGGGCAATTGAGACACAAGATCTCGTTCCTTGTTAGCGACAAGCTGCCATTGATATGTTGCTAGGCATGTACTACCTTGAGGTTGCTCAACCTCAATTTGACTGGGATAGGAAGGTGATGATTCACAAGTTACCCAATGGAAGGACCGTTAGACTGCATAAGTTTAAGGCTAGCAGGCTAGAGGAGAACCATGGGTGCATGTGTGCATCTTCTGTCTACACCTACTATAAACAGAATCGTGAGGAGGGCATGTACCTAGTCTTTATCTCTGAAAAAGGGGAGGCCGTAAAATCACCCCCAGAGATAGAAGCAGTCGTTGCGCAATATCCAGACCTTTTTGAGGAGCCCAATGGTTTGGTAGAAGGGAGGTTGTCCATGCAATAGAGGTCGTCCCCGGTAGCAAAGTACCTAAAGGACGAATCTATAGAATGTCTCCTGCGGGGTTAGATGAGCTCCGCCGCCAACTCAAAGAGCTCATAGAGAAGGGATGGATTCGGCCTAGTACCTCCCCTTATGGTGCACCAGTCCTATTTGTTCCTAAGAAGGTGAGTACCCTAAGGATGTGCATTGATTATAGGGGCCTCAATGCCATCACCGTAAAGAATGTGGAGCCCCTACCCCGCATCGACGACCTCTTGGATAAAGTGCAGGGATGTCGGTACTTCGCAAAGATAGACCTGACGTCCGGATACCACCAGATTGCCATTAGGCCTGAGGATCAACACAAAACCACTTTTCAAACCAGGTACGGTCTGTATGAGTTTGTGGTAATGCCTTTTGGTCTATGCAATGAGACATTCCAGCAATCAATGAACCGGATCTTTCATGAGTACTTTTACAAGTTTATCGTCATATACCTCGACGATATCCTTATCTTTAGTAAGATTGTAGAGGAGCACACTGAGCACGTGAAAATAGTGCTAGGTCTCCTAAGACATCACCAGTACAAGGTTAACTTGGAGAAATGCGGATGTGGTCGCACCAAGATCCTGTATCCGGGTCATGAAATTTCCGGGGATGGTTTAAGGCCGGATGATGCCAAGGTGGCGAGCATACGTTACTGGCAGGTCAGTCTTGGGGATGATAGGCTACTATAGACCGTTTATGAAAAACTACATACCCTCCCCATTAACTGACCTCACACGCCTTGACACTCCTTGTGAGTGGACAAAAGAGTGTGAGGTAGCCTTCAAGAAACTGAAATATGCCCTAACACACTGCGAAGTCCTTAAACCACCTGATCCTGAGCAACCCTTTGTAGTAACCACTGACGCCAGCCAATACGGCATTGGCGCAGTCCTTGCGCAAAAGGAGGGGAGAAAGTTAAGTCCCATCGAGTACATGAATAAAAAGATGTCGTCTCATAAATTAGCGAAGTCCACATATGAGTGTGAGCTTTATGCCCTCTACCGAGCGCTGGTCCACTAGAGACATTATCTCCCTAGCAGATTCTTCTATGTGAGATCTGACCACGAGACTTTGCGCTGGATTAAAACGCAGTCTGCACTCTCTCACGCACTGAAGAGATGGATTCAAGTTATGAACATGTATGATTTCCAACTTGATCCTCTCAAAGGAGAGTACAATAAAGTGGCTGATGCACTTTCGCGTAGGGCAGACTATCTGGGCGCGCTAGTGACTGAGTTTGGGATATCGGAAGATGTAACTCGATTTATGGTGGAAGCCTATCAAGAGGACACAGTTTTCTCTAAGATCATTCGCAAATTGGAAGCGAAAGATAAAATCATTTCCGATGAGTTTGTACTAGTTAAAGGGTTGTTGTTCCTTGAGAAGGTAGGGAATAAAAGACTTTGTGTACCTAATAGGGAGTCTTTACGTAGTTTATTTCTGGGTGAGTGTCATGACGCAGCATGTCATTTTGGATTTAAAAAGACTTCAGCTAACTTGGTACAAAAATTTTGGTGGCCTACAATGATGAATGATGTCAAAAAGTACGTAGAGACCTGCCAGGTTTGTCAACGTGACAAACCTAGGACGCAGGCACCACTTGAGCTGCTCAAGCCCTTGCCTATTCCTGTTGGTCCCGGCCAGAGTGCGTCCATGGATTTCATGGATACTCTTGTGACCAGCAAGAGCGGGAAAAGACACATCTTTGTCATTGTAGATAGATTTACCAAGTATGCCAAATTAATCGTCATGCCTGAGACTGCTAAAACTGACTACGTCATCAAGCTATTTTTGGACAACTGGGTACGCGACTTTGGTCTTCCTACGTCTATTCTAAGCGATAGGGATGTCAAATTCACTAGTGAACCGTGGCAGTCCACAACCCAACAGATGGGCACCCGACTGCAAATGACATCAAGGAACCACCCAGAGTCAAATGGCCAGGTGGAACAGATGAACCGAGTAGTGCAACACCTGCTTTGGCATTACATAAAGCCAAGTCGGGATGATTGGGACGAGGAATTGCCTCTCGTTGCCAGCCTGTACAACAACGCTGTGCATAGCACTACTGAGATGACTCCCAACCAACTGCATCTTGGTTGGAAGCCCAGATCCACCCTAGATTTCCTACTACCTGAAAATCAACCATCTGCAACACCTGGCAACATAGAGTTTGCTGTCAAGTATGAACAAATGCTGCAACAGGATGTCGACCATATTAAGAAAGTTCAAGATGCTATGGTGGCATCTGAGAACTAGCACAGACGACCATCTGAGTTTCAGGTAGGAGAGCGAGTATGGGTCATGTCATCTGAACTGGGTCAAGAATTGGGAATCTCACGAAAACTAATGCCGCAGTATTTCGGTCCATGGGAGGTCCTAGATATAGTCGGGGATCAGATAGTCGGCCCCCCCTATGTAATTCGCATCCCTGCTCACTTACGAACACACCCAGTCTTGCACCTTTTGCAGAAACAGCCCAGTTTCCTTCCAGACGATCAATGCTGCCCCCAACCATGGATGGCGAAGTCGACATCGACGAAATCGTGGAGCACAGAGTGATGCCTGTGCCTAAACCTCTCAGCAGAGGCCGACCTTCAAAGCCAGGATGTAGTACCGTGTGAGATTCAGACACATCCAGGTGAAGATCGGTGGTTTACCGGAGAAGAACTCCAGCAAACAACCCCCCAAGTGATTGCAGGATATGAGAAAGGACTCAAGGGGAAGATGCCTGCAGATTAAAGGGCTTCTAAGGGGACTATCGAAGTAAAGGAGGAGGGAATGCAAGGATATGTTTCCTTGGCAGGCCTAAGGGCCCCCCCTTTTTCAAGTGTGCCCGCCCTAAGTGAAGGCGGGCCTAACAAATCACGAGAGGCCCATTGCTATCAATTTCGTATTTGGGTTCAGGCAGTTGTGTCGCGTCAGTTGGTTGAGGGAACCTAGGCCACGAGCAGCAGAACTTTCCACGACCTTCTAGGCCTTTTTCCTGAAAAGCAGGCCCTGGGCCACATCCGCAGCAATATACACAAGCAGTTGGGAGGCGTAACTGAACGAGGCCCATCTACCTGGGGCCTATCGGAAGCTTCTGGGCTAAGGCCCAGCCCAACCAGGCCGCAGGCCAGGCCAGACTCTTTCCATATAGGAAAGAGCTTGCTACTTGGCAGGGCATTTGGGCACTTGCTAGTTTGCGGCAGTACTGTTGGAGCGGACGCTCGCGGGCTGCTGCTAGCGCTAGAGCAAGGTGCAATCCACGTGCGGTCGTGTAAGTGAGGGCGGCGTTGTGGGCAGCGCCATAGCCCAGTTTTCATAGCTGGTTGGGGCTTGGATAAACAGCAAGGCGCAATTGTTATGAATTTGGTTGTCTGTCGATTTCATTCAACACTCACACGCAGGCGATCTCACACATGCCCATAGATGCATAAGAAGAAGGGGAGAGGAGACAGAGTCACACCCTGCACACATATGAAGTAAGCAGCGCAAGCAATATGCACAGAGTGTGGAGACAACACATAGTGCTTCTCTCTCTGACGATACTCCCAACAACCAATCATAAGAAGACACCACGAGGATCCCAACAGAACATAACCAAGTTTGAGCCAATATCAACCCTGAATCGTTACAGAGTTTTCTCTCAATGTTCTCAACCACAGAAACCTACACTACACCCCCACTCCTACACTCTGTTATGGTTGACTCATTTGCGTCTTTGGTCTCTTCTCACTTTCAGTGCAAACTCAATCACAATAGACCAGTTGTTTCTTGACAAAATATCAGGTAAAGGAGGAGCTGGGAATCCCTCAAAGACAGCAAGCTGAATAGATCCAATGAAGCACTTATTTTCTCTATCAAGTCTTTCTTTCTCTCTCAGTATAACTTCCTCGGCAAATCCCCAGCATCTCCCATAAACAGCGTCAACACTTCTTTCTTTAGGAACATAAATTCTTACATCATATGTGTCCAAGTCTGTAAAGTAGAATGTCAAGACATAGAATCGTTCCCGCTCCCATCCACTCTCAACCATCTCATACTTAACAATCTTGTATGGGAACACTTCTTTCTCACTTAAAGCGTTCAGTGATCTCAGGAGGCAATCGACTTTTTCCTTGCTACCAACTTCCTGTCTTCTCTGTTTGATTTCCTCTACTGAAGTTTCTCGTGCTCTCATGACAGCCTTCTCGTTTCTTCCACCTCAGTACCATGTTAATTATTGGCAACCAATTACTTCCATCACAGTAACTCTCAGGAACAGGAGGAATTGGAATTGTCTCATAGGTTACATGCATTAACACCCATTCCACTCTCTTCTTTTGCTTGGTTAGATATGCATTTTCATCGTAAATAGACTGAGCAACAATTTCCCATAGCCAGTTAAAGACCTCACCATCGATGCCTCCCTTCATAGGGATGAATACCATAAATATCTCTCTCCAAGAAGTGAGCCAGCACTACACAGATGGTCGAACTGCCAGAGTGGTAAACCCAAGAGTGCTCATACTGATAGGGGAATATCTCTTTAATAGTTAATCTTGAGAGCTCTTTCAATGAATCAGTAGTTAGCATTCTTGATGGAATCTCTTAACCTCTGACTCATTCTCTTCTTTCTCAGTTTTCCATGGACATCAAGGGCTCATAAGGCATACTTGTGATCAAGCCCGATCCTTTCCAATAAGTAAAGCCAGTCTCCTTCTTCGGTCCAGTGTCGTACCTCACACATGAAGAGATAAAACCCAGTTAGCAACTGAAAATTTCCAAGAGAATGATATCTCAATCAAAATAATAGAGTCAGTCTGAAAATCCAGGGATTGTCAACAGTTCTCAAGCCCTAATTAAAGCTTAAAACTGATGCTGACCCAAGCTCGTTCCGGCACGAAAAATTTTCATGTTCCCGGCAACGGCGCTATTTTTGTCGCACTTTTTTTTTTAGCCGGGCCTCTTCAGGCGACCAGAAAGCCAACAGGCTGTCATGCAGGACTTTGGATGATGTTTGCAATAAATAAATAAATAAAATAATGCAAATCCCTTCCTGTTGTGTGTATCCGGCTTCGAGCGAGACCCTTTAATTACAGTCTTCGCCGGTCCCCGGTCTTAGAAATCTTTTATTTTGATTCGGAACAGCAAAGAATCATGCAAATAATAATCATAAAAGTTATGATATGTTATGCATGCATCAATTTCGCCAATTTACTAATTTTGGGAACTATGACATGACCATTTGAGAACTCAATCATTAAGCAGAAGCAATGTAGTCCATGCAAGACTGACGGACTCGAGCAAAGACAAGGATAAATGAGGGAAGAATGAGAACTCTTAATAATCTCAGAGAGTGTGCGAGCATGACCAACAGTAATCACGAGTCCTCACTCATCCCTCTGAACCTCACACTCAATCCCTTATTTTGTTGTATGTCTCTTGTGCTTCGAGCCAAGTCTTTGTGCCCTCTGAGGTTGCAGTCTCTCGATGTAGAGCCACCTGAAGCCTGCTAGTTCGGAGCACTTCCATCCAAGTGCCATGATACGAAAGTCAACCATAGCACAAAACTCCTCCCATAGAGTAGGGAGATATGGTTGAGAGAAGATCCCTCGTCTGAGATGCTAGAACTCTGACGACTCAGTCACTGCCTCGTAATCAATTACTGCAGGCGAGATATACCTCTTGGCTAGATCGACCAGGTCTCCCCAACTAGAGCCATCTGCGAGAAGGAAGGGGACTGGAGGCTTGGGGTAGTCTGTGTAGAGCTTTGGTCCGAAGTTGCGGATCAACTTTGTCTCATTCTCATCAAGCTCTTTCTCTTTCTCTTCAAGGTACCTGGCTGCGAAGACCCAGACTGAGTCGAAGTGCTCATGGGTTTCTTTACCCTTCTTTACATAGAGTCTCAGGTCATGAATAGTGCCGCCTGCGAAACTGGTGAGAACAACAAAAATTGCCAGACCTCCTTGACCGAAGCCAAAGGCACTGACGCATTGATACGGGACAACATCCTTGAGGGCTATCATGTTGAGGCTGGCCAAGACAAGTTCATGGACTGCAGATGACTGAACTGCACTCATGTGCTAGTGTCGGATGTTAGGAATGGTCCCGTGTCTTTTGGGTGGAAATACTATCTAGATGATACGTGATCTCTTAGCAGAATGAGAAGAGTAACTGAGCACTGAATGATTCTAACTGAAAATTTAGCTCGAGAGAGTTGATTGGTTGCCGATCAAATGTCCTCTAAATGTTTGATCGAAAGTTGATTAAAAGTTGGTGTTGGTTGAATGTTGACTAAACACTGAAGTATCGAGTCACCGAACATTAATCACATGGAATCAGACTGCTAAAAGGACTGCAAATTGTTTGAGGTGCTTGCTGATTCAGATGTTGGTGAAGTTTCAGAGGAGAGAGTTTTAGGCACCACTGCATTCCCATGAGATTTACCCTAGCCTGCTCCACGGACTCTATCAGCGAGCCGGTGTTGTGCAGCTTGCTGTCGTGGCCATAGAAACAAAACACGTATTCAATGTATTTTTCTTTCCTGGTCGCTCGGACAACATATTCCCACTGAGTCTGTCGATGTAATTCCATGTCTCTGCATGCATCATCCTCCCATCCTTCCTTCCTGTCTCTGTACAATCGACACTTTATCACTAGTACCTCATCACCCTTCATGACTCCCCAATGCTCTAAGTCTCAGGCAATGAGTAGGATAAACTGCAATTTTTTTTTGAGGAGGTCGTACACTCAGGGTAGACAGCTGTCCCAAGTGTTCAATATTGCTGGTGATCTGTAGGGTGACGAACTGATTCGCGTAGCTTTAACTGAGAGGAGTAGGGACTAACTAAGTGACCAGAGATGACGGGACTGTACTCATATGCCAAACTGGGGCAGGCTTGAATGATACCGCCAACGGACAAGAAAAACCCTCGGAATGTGCCCAATGCCAACTCTGAAAATCGTTGTCGGGGCATTAGACTTGTAACGTTGTCGTGGAGGTTGATTGCCAGGTCAGACAAGGCCCCTGAGTGACACAGACAACATTTCCTAGTGGAGGGACCTACCCGTGTTACTTTCGTTTACATTGAACTGTATTTGCAGCATCCTCGATCACTTAGCATTGCAGTAACCATGTTCAGAAGTAGCCTGGGGCTCAGAACTCAGCCCCAGGAAACACAGACCTGAGTTGGTCTGCGCTGGGCTGTGTGACCAAGACACGCCCAGGCCTGAGTCTGTCGAGTGTGGCTGTGTGACCGAACGCTGCATACAGGAAATTCGAGAGTCAAAGTCAACTGTAGAGTCAAAGGTACCGCACCCAGGCCCTTGGTTGGATACACTGACTTGTTGTGCGCAGGTACCCAAACAGCATCCAGGCCGGAGGGAATTCGGTTTCAAGCCAATCTGGGCCCTCATTCGCATTGAGATCTGGACGGTTGAGGGATACAGCATCCGGGGTCCAGAACCTGCGTCAACACTACATAAGACCTGACTTCCTGGCTTTGACATTCATTTTGTCTTGCGTTGATGATGACTTCACACGCTGACTTCAACGCTGGCTTGACGCTGCGACGCTGGCATTGTGACTTGGCGGAGGCGCTGCTAGTTCGGCATGGTGGCCGGCTTGCTCCTGTCTTCTTGGCTTGCTGACGTGGCAGCTGTCATGCGCTATCGCTGATGTGGCTGCTGCCACGTGTATCATTGGCTTACGTGGCTACTGCCACGTGTTCTATGGCTGGGACTACGTAATCGGCATTGCTGTTCTGTTTCGTCGTCACTTCAGGAGGAGATCAGGACTGTGGAGAGTTCGAGGATACGTACCTGGTGGTCTTCATGTCGACATTGCTCCAAATGCTGATGTGGAACTGATTAGACGTGCCACGTGGCACTTTGAGGATACTTTGGATACTCGTCCAGACTATTGATTATTGAGGTGGTAGTAGAGGAGGGAGCCCGAAGCAGGAGTGGGCATTGTACTCCTCTCCTTTGTCTCTTCTCCCTCCTCTCTCTTCGTCTGTGTATGTTTACCTCACCTCATTCTATTTGGTTACGATTTTTGACTACTAGTAATCATCAGCTGATGAACACTTATCTGGGCTTGCATTGTTGACGACTGTCTTCACGATCTGGGTTCATTGCAGCATAGTCAAACAAAACAAAAAAAAACTACCAATCCCAGACACGACTTGTACTTCAGAGTCAGGTCATTTTCGAAGTCGTCTTAATCTTAAATAGTTATTGAGATATGGCCTTAGCAAAAGGAAAATCCAGTAGAGCGTTTCCCTGGTTCTTCCCTCTTACTCGACTCGTTTGAGTGGAAGGCTAGGTCTGCCTAATCTCCGTACGATCAACTGTGGCAGAGAGGGTTCGAAGAAACTTGGACTTGGGAACACGAATCCCTCCAGTGGCACGAAACTCAGTCGCTACTCATCGGTTTTCCGCACAAAGTGATCGTTCACTAAACTTGAAGGGCAATCCCACAATCCCCTCATTTTTCATCAGATTAGACGCTCATGTTGGCCCTACGCAACAGGAGTATCTGTAAGGTTTGCGTACGGAGAAGAGAATTCGCACTTTAAATTAATCCCCGTCGAGCAGGAATTTAGCCAGGGTGTATACAATTAATTTCATAACAGACTTTCTCTTTCCCATCAGGTGAGCACAAGTCCCCTTTTGGACATATCTCGAGAGTAAATTAAGCCCTGTTCTGAAATAGGTGCCGGCCAGCATAGGTTGCTGGGACCAGCACCTGTAGGCCAAGCTCAGTTGGTACACCGCAGGCTGTTGAAAACAGGCCTGTGGGACAGATGCCACTGGGCCGAGCGCAGTTGGTACACCCACGAACTGCTGAGAGAATAGGCCTTTGGGACCAGCACCACGGCCTAGCGCAGTTGGAACACCCGCGAACTGCTGTGAATAGGCCTGGGGGAACAGCAGTTGCGGATCTAGTTCAGGTGGTACACCCATGGACTGTTGAAAAACAGTCTGTGGGAACAGTGCCACTGTCTCAGCTGGTACACCCGCGGACTGTTGAAAAACAGTCTGTGGGAACAGTGCCACTGTCTCAGCTGGTACACCCCTGAACTGTTGAAAACAGGGCTGTGAAACCAGCACCTGCAGGCATAGCTCAGGTGGTACACCCACGAACTGTTGAAAAGCAGGCCCGTGGGACAGATGCCACTGGGCCTAGCTCAGGTGGTACACCCGCGGACTGTTAAAAAAACAGTCCTGCGGGATGAGCACCTACGCAAGAACTGCTGAAATAAAGACCTGTGTTCGAACTCCACCGGAAGCAGATGAGTAAAATATTACAATTCTGAATTACCTATGGCCGGCCAGTTCGATGCTGATATCTCAAGGCGGCCGGTCCGCTGGTTCGCTCGGTCCTTCAGCTCGTCATAGGAGATTGGTATGGCCCCTGCGCAAGGAAGACACTTATAAATCAGGGAAAGGTCCGACAGCCAGAGGTTTTCCTTTTTGTGTTGAGGGTTTGTCGGACAACGAGGCAGTTAGTAGCTGAGAGGAGGAAGACGAAGACGAGAGTGAGGAAGGAGACGAAGGGGGGAAGAGAGGAGAAGACTAGAAGGAAGGTAAGCAGTAGGATAGTGGGAAAAACAGGGGGAAAGAGAAACAGAGTGGCAAAAGGAAGACGCATGAACCTGGCCGGGGTCTGGTCCAGGTGCGTGAAGAAAGAGACAGGAAAGTTACGAAGGCGGGGAAAGAAAGAAGGTGACGAAAGAGAAGAGAGTTCAGTTTGCCTGTGCGAGGGGTGAAACCGGGCGGAGGGAAGAGTGTCGTGGGTGTTTTTGACCGCTGGGAGTCTGATAGTGGTGTTAGTTTGGACAATGGAGTCGGGGTTGAGGAGTTAGTAGAGAAAGAGGGTCCGCGGAGAAGTCGAGGAAGACGTCGAGGAGGGAAGAAAAGAGAAAAGGAGGGAGTGAAAATTTTATATCTTGCTCGTTTCTTCATGAAAACGAACGAGAGAAGATTCTAACCGGGGATTTTGAAGCATTGCGAGCAGATTGGCTGCGTCAGATTCCTGTTTTAGGCAACATGATTGTCGGTACAAGCTGCAAGGGCTGCGCTGCTGCAAGGGCAGTTTTCGAGAGTGATAATGTATTTTTCTAAATTCTAGCGGTAGGTTCATTCTAAATATTGCACATCTAGTGGGCAGCGGAGCGTGGCCTATAGCGGGCCGTTTTTGGTGATTGTGGCTTTGATCTTGGGTCAGATGCTGCCCAACCGTGCGTTCATCTTCGTTGTCTTCATGCTGCTCGTAGGTGATTCACAGGGCCGTTCTTGGTCGGCATCATATCGCTAATCATCTCTCACCTGAGTCGTAGTCATCTTCTCGTTTATTGTTTTGGTCCCGATCGCAATCTTCATCCCGCTGACCCTCTTCCATCCTATTTTGAACGGACCTGGCCAAGCGGGCGGCCAGGTGCGTTCATAAATCAGAGAGAGCTGAGAGAGAGATAGAGAGAGTGGCGCAAGAAACAGGAGACCGGTTGTTGCTATGAGGGGGTGCAGCAGCAGGCGAAAGCGATGGTGATGTATCTTTCCACGTTCTAGCGGAAGATTCATTCTGCACGGTGGGAGAAAAGCAGAACAGAGCACGCCTACCTCTTACGCTTTGCCCTCATCATAGGACATGGGCGTCCTCCTCATGCTCGTAGTGGGCATCGTGTAGCACCGAGGTCGCCTCGTCAACACTTGGTGGCGATCTGCGTAGCTAGTACGTTTGTCGATGAGTTATACGGTCCTTACGAGTTCAAAGCTGGCTTAATTCTTGGTTGCTCTGCCTACGCAGGCGCCTCATGCTAGGCGCTTACCAGATTGTGACTGCACTTTGGCTGCTTTTGCGGCCACATTTACTTAAAAAAAAAAAAAAAAAAAAAAAAAAAAAAAAAAAGACTCAGAGAAGGACGATCGGCAGAAAGAGAGACAGGAGCAAAGGCAAGGATCAAGAAAGGCCAGAGAAGTAGAAATTGAAAGGGAGAAGTATCTACGAAAAGAAGAGAAAGGAGGTGTCGGGAGGTGAGTTGAGAGGGAAAAGAGAGTGGAAGTTGCCATATCCCGGTCATTTCTTGACCGATTCTGGCAAACTAGGATGCTAATTGGGGGATTTGAGGGATTGCGGAGAGATTCAGCGCGCCAGAAATTGGGTTTGAGTGGTGGTTTGGCCGAAACGGTTGGAAGGGGCTGCGTGGCAGTGACGGGCATCATTGCAGCAGGAGTAAATCTTCCATATTTTTAGCGGAAGATTCGTTTTCATTTTTTTGCACATTTGGTGAGTAGTGGGGCATGTCCCACTGTCGCGCACGTCAGCTCACTATCGTGATCGCCGCCAGCAGGATCATGGGATTTGCCTTCGTCATCCTTGTTGCAGCAAGATGGACAAAATGATCGTCTTCGTGATCATGTTCTCCATCACACCCGAGTTGTCCATCGTGCTCGTTGCCAACGGGTTGGTTGTCGCGACCCTCTCCTGATCCGAGTCTTCGTCTCAGTGGCCTCAAATGAACCCGGCCGTGCGAATGACCAGGTGCAATCGTATGCTAGGGGCTGCGTAAGGGGAGTGAGGGAGGAGTAGAAGGATTAGAGAGAAGGTGGGGGGAGGGGTCGTATGAAGCAGGACACAGGGCTATACTGCACAGGGGACGCAGCAGCGGGCAGGGTCTCGATCCCAGGTCCAGGCCCTTGTGGCCGCCTGTCCAATCCAAGCAAAAGACATTGGCTGGGGCGGCACATCTGATTAGCAAAAATCGCAGGTATCCTAACGTAAGCTCAACCAGAACAAAAATTTCGTGTAGAATAGAGGGGCGAAGGCTCATTTTTTTGTTATTCTGATTTACACTACGAATATGAACCATGAGAGCATGGCCTATGGATCCCTCAAAAAAAAAAAAAAAAAAAAAAAAACTTGGTTCACATTCATGAAGGTGATGCATAGCTGATCTTAGTTGGTGAAGTAGTTGGTGACTGTTGGTCTGGGCACAGATTAACAGACCGAGGGTTCCTTGAGCCCGCCACAGAGGAGTACCGGGTTTCAAGGGTGCCGTGGTTGGTATCAGGGCCGCTGATACTGCTGCCACTGCGGTGTTAATTAGCATTGGGCGAGTCTCAAGTATTGCAGCAGGTTTGACTGTGATTTGGCGAACCTTAAAGATGGAGGGCTTTGTGATTTAGCAATCTGGAACTGCGCCAGCTGATTCACCTACTCCAACTGCAGGCCGAGGAGTCGGTGATTCCTCCATGCACAATGTTGCTTGGAGAAGAGTGGGGACTCTCGCGATCCCAGGACATGGAGAGCGAAGCTGCTGTTTACTGTGCCTGCTGATGTGTGTTGCTGAGCAAATTGAAGGGCTTGCTGCTGTGCATATGTTGCGCACAGGACAATTGTGCCTTGTCGTGAGCACGTAGTATTTTCACTGTGCCTGGTGTTGAGCTCCACTGCTGTAAATTGCTGAGGCGGCGCAGTTGCCATCCTCTGCGGCGACGGGTAACAGATTTCGAGGCATTGGTGTCCTCGACAATAACGTGCCACGGATTGGGAAAACTATTGTTTCACTGGATCGTCCATCAGATCCTACACTGCCGCTGCTGCTGTGGATTCTGGAGTTGCTGCAACTCGTCCCGGAAGTGCTGTTGCTGTTAATCTTGAGGTCGTGGGAACCTGTTGCTGTTGGAGTTGAGATTCTGCTGCGACATCGACCACCTATTGACATGGACGCATGCGACTTTGGCCGCCATTGCGGGGCCCTCAAGATCTGAAGGCACCAAGGCTCTCTCGTGTGAGTTGAGTTGGCCCCTTCTCGTATCTCGAGCATCTAACCTTTCTCTTCCTATCCTTCTTCCTCTCAGTCTAATCTGTGTCTGGAGAAGAAGGCGGCAGGCGGGATTGCAACCCGTACGACCGCATCAAGGCCTTTGTGGGAGGTTGACCCACCGATTGCGGGAGCTCTGCCGGAGCCCAGGCAGGACTCTGGAGGCAGGGAACTCAGAGGTAGGCCGACACTATACCATTAGAATTCCAATAACCCCCCTATCTATACAAACCTAGTGTTTGGTCTGTTTGACTTTGACTTGTGTATACGATTGTTTTCTTTTTCATGACTTTAACTGAATCAGAAAGGGAATCTACTATGCTTGATTAAGTCATCATTCTGTGGTAAAAACCATAATGTTTGTATGTGATGATTTGAACTGGGGATGGAAATGAGGTCCTCCAGACTGATCCGGTCGCCTTGCTGTTTTGCCTAAGACATTGAACTGGGGCTGGAAATGAGGTCCTCCAGA